ATGGTCTCGATCTCTTGACCTCGTGATCCACCCGCCTCAGCCTCCCAAAGTGCTGGGATTACAGGCTTGAGCCACCGCGCCCGGCCCAGCTAATTTTTTGTAGAGACAGGGTTTCACCACGTTGGCCAGGATGGTCTTGATCTCTTGACTTCATGATCTGCCTACCTCGGCCTCCCAAATGTTAGGATTGCAGGCATGTCCCACCGCGCCCAGCCAGGAGTCTGGTTTTTATTCTAACTGGAACAGGAAGGATTGCGGTCCAGGGGAGGCAAGGCGTAGGGAAAAAAGAAGGCTGAGAAGGCAGGAGGGCAAGGGTGCAGGTGCGACAGTTCATGGAGCCAGCATGGTGGCCTGGACGGGTGGTGGCTCTGGAGTGGAGAGGAGGGGATGGATCTAAGGTGGTGGCATCACCAAACGCCCATCAAACGGGGGTGGCTGTGGGCCTGGCCTCTGCCAGCCACCTCTGTCCCCTGTCCTCTGCAGGCCCACGGAGGACCATGAAGGTGCTTCTCCTCACAGGGCTGGGGGCCCTGTTCTTCGCCTATTATTGGGATGACAACTTTGACCCAGGTGAGTCCCTGGGGTTTATGGAGGGAGAAACCGGGCCGGCTGTCCTGTCCTCTGCCCAGAGTGACCACCCGGACTCTGGCCAGCCAGCCTCCAGGGAGCCCGAGTGCTGCTGACAGGGGCCAACGCTGGTGTCGGTGAGGAGCTGGCCTATCACTACGCGCGCCTGGGCTCCCACCTGGTGCTCACTGCCCACACCGAGGCCTTCCTGCAGAAGGTGAGCCACCCCATGTCTAGACGAATGCTGGAGGTTTGTGTGGGGACAGGGAAGAGAGCCTGGCTTCCTGTGTGACCCTGGGCAAGTTGCCTAGCCTCTCTGGGCCTCTCGGTTTCCTCATTTTCAAAACGGGACAATGAAACCACCCTCTGGCCAGGCATGGTGGCTCATGCCTATAGTCCCAGCACTTTGGAAGGCCGAGGCAAGTGGATCGCCTGAAGTCAGGAGTTCAAGACCAGCCTGGACAACATGATGAAACCCTGTCTCTACTAAAAATACAAAAATTAGGCAGGGTGCACTGGCTGACGCCCATAATCCTAGCGCTTTGGGAGGCCGAGGTGGGCAGATCACTTGAGGTCAGGAGTTGTCAACCAGCCTGGCCAACATGGTAAAACCCTATCTCTACTGAAAATACAAAAGAAAATAAAAAAGCTGGGCATGGTGGCACGCACCTGTAACCCCAGCTACTTGGGAGGCTGAGGCAGAAGAACTGATTGAACCCAGGAGGCAGAGGTTGCAGGGAGCTGAGATTGCACCACTGCACTCCAGCCTGGGTGACACAGCAAGACTCCATGTCAAAAACAAAAAAAAATTACCCGGTCATGGTGGCTCATGCCTGTAATCCCAGCTACTTGGGAGGCTGAGGTAGGAGAATCACTTGAACCCAGGAGGCGGAGGTTGCAGTGAGCTGAGATCGCGCCACTGCACTCCAGCCTGGGCAACAAAGAGACATTCTGTCTTAAACAAACCAACAAACTCCCACCTTTTCATGGGTTAGGACGCTGCACCAATGCAGTGAGACGGTTGACTGGAAAGCGGTGCATTCCTCAGCAAGTGAGAGTATTGCGTGTCCGAGCCTGTATTGAGAGTCGGGATTCTCAAACTCCAAAGGGAATATGGGCACTTCTGGGCATCCAGCAGCCCATTCCTACTTCAGGGCAGGGTATGGCTCTTGGACACAAACCTTTCGAATTTTCAAGAGAAGCTAGAAATCTGGAAATTGTAGGTGAAATGTCCTGTTTTAGATTTTGGTGATTGATGAATCGGCCAACATTCTGGCCCGCGGGCCTCCACTTTGAGCCTCCCCACCTCCCACAGTAGTAAATCTTTGGGAAAGATGTTGAATGGGGCCAGAGGCTCAGAGTAGGGGAGGGGTTTTCAGGCGGCGGCCTCCCTATGGCCGGCAGGTGGGGGGGCAGCTGGAGAGGAGAGGCCCACGGGCAGCTCTGGCCCCCCCCAGGTGGTAGGGAACTGCCGGAAGCTGGGCGCCCCCAAGGTCTTCTACATCGCAGCGGACATGGCCTCCCCTGAGGCGCCCGACAGCGTGGTGCAGTTTGCGCTGGACAAGCTGGGTGAGGGGCTAGGCCTGGAGTCTGCAGTCCGGGACCGTGGCCTGGGCCTTAGGGACAGGATTAGAATTGGGGTGTGGGTGTGGCTACAGTAACAGGTGTCTCAGGGTGGAGACGTATCCCGGGACTGGGGACGAGGTGGGGGGAGGGTGGAGCCTCATTGCATCGTCGGGGAAGAGCTCCAAACGGAGCCTCATTGAATGGGGACGAAACTTGGCTAGATTCAGAGAATAAGGCCCAGGGCTGGGTGTCTTTGATCGTAGGGGGCATTCCCTGGGGCGGAGCTCACTGTGTCCGCGCTGTGGGCGGAGCTAAGATCGGGGGCGGGGTTTGGTTGTGCCCCGGGGGAGGGGCCTCCGGGGCTGACCGGTGTTTTTGGGCCAGGCGGGCTGGATTACCTCGTGCTGAACCACATCGGCGGCGCCCCGGCCGGCACGCGGGCCCGCAGCGCCCAGGCAACGCGCTGGCTCATGCAGGTGCTCCGCCCCTCCGCGGCCCGGGCCCGGCCCTCGATCTCAGAGACCGGTGCTCCAGCTCCCTCTCTTCAAGCTCCGCTCCCTTCACGACCGGGCCTCTGCCTCCTCCCGGGCTGGCCGTCAGCCCTTCCCGCCCCGGCCACTACCCTCCCAGACCAAGGCCCCGTCCTGCCCTCCGGGATTCTAGGTCCGTCCTGGCATTGACCCCGCCATCGGACCATGCCCTCCGGGTTTCTAGCCGGGTCCTTGGACCCCGCCCCGGCCTTGGCCCCGCCCGGCCTTGACCACGCCCCCAGTTGATCGCCCCGCCTTCCGGGTTCCTGGCCCCGCCCCCGGTTTCTGGCCCCGCCCTGCCCCCGGGCTCCGCCTGCGTCGGTGACTCGCGAGTGCCGCCTGCAGGTCAACTTTCTGAGCTACGTGCAACTGACGTCGCGGGCGTTGCCCAGCCTGACGGACAGCAAGGGCTCGCTGGTGGTGGTGTCGTCGCTGCTCGGTGCGTGCACTCGGCCCCGGCTCTGCGGGACGGGGAGTGGGGAGCTCGATGCGGGTGAGCCTGGAGGGCCTGGGCAGGCTTCCCGGAGGAGGGGGAGCCGCTCAGCCGCCGCCGTCCGCGCCCCCAGGCCGCGTGCCCGCGTCGTTCTCCACCCCGTACTCGGCGGCCAAGTTCGCGCTGGATGGCTTCTTCGGCTCCCTGCGGCGGGAGTTGGACGTGCAGGACGTGAACGTGGCCATCACCATGTGCGTCCTGGGCCTCCGAGATCGCGCCTCCGCCGCCGAGGCAGTCAGGTGAGGCCCGGGCGAGCCGGGGGCTGGGCTGGGGGCCACGGGCGGCTGCCCAGCCCCAGCTGCAGCCCCCACCGCGCCCTCCCGTCCCCAGGGGAGTCACGAAGGTCAAGGCGGCCCCGGGGCCCAAGGCGGCCCTGGCGGTGATCCGCGGCGGCGCCACGCGCGCGGCCGGCGTCTTCTACCCGTGGCGTTTCCACCTGCTGTGCTTGCTCCGGCGCTGGCTGCCGCGCCCGCGGGCCTGGTTCATCCGCCAGGAGCTCAACGTCACGGCCGCGGCTGCAGCCTGAGCACCGAGGGGTACCCCTCCACGTCCCGGACGGGAATGCTCCTCCCTCCAACTGTCCCTGGAGCCAGGACACTCACAATGGACACCCCTGAGAGGGTGGCCACAGCCCAAGATAAATTCATCAAGACAGAAAAGCAAAACCCGGAAAAACGACGGGCGCCTGGAACCAATCACAGCTTCGGAGGCGCAGGCGCCCTGTGTTAGGCGCCTCGTCCCGGACTTGTGTCGCCTCACCAGTTTGGACGTGATGGATGACATGACTGCTTCCATTTTGCAGATGAAGAAACAGGCTCAGAGAGGTCACACCACCCTTGAGCCAGCCATGGACCCCACTCCATTACCTGCCTGCGCCTCTTCGTCGCCGATTTATTCTTTGCACTCATTCATTCCATCTGGGAGGATCCCCTCCTCCGGACACCTGCCAGCTTCCCCCAGCTGGGGGCTCTGGGACTCTTCACACCTGCAGGGATGTCTGCACTGTCCGTGTACCTGGTGGCAGGGCCTAAGAGGGAGGAGGAGGGAAAGTGTGTTTTGGGCTGGACCCAGTCTCCCGTTTGAGAATAAAAATGCTTCTTCCCTTGCATATCTGTTGTTCAGATTCCTTGGTAATTTCAATTTGCTGGCAGACGGCGGACAGCGAGAGCGGTGTGTGTACCAGGGGCTTGGACTCTCAATCCCATTTCACAGGTGGAGAAATGGAGGCTGAGAGGCCAGGTGCGGTGGCTAACGTTTATAATATCATCACTTTGGGAGGCCAAGGCAAGCGGATCGCTTGAGGTCATGAGTTTGAGACCAGCCTGGCAAACATGGTGAAACCCTGTCTTTACGTACTTTTAAATTTTTTTTAGACGGAGTCTCGGTCCAGGCTGGAGTGCAGTAGTGTGATCTAGGCTCACTGCAACCTCCGCCTCTGGGATCAAGCAACTCTTGTGAGTCAGCCTCTCGAGTAGCTGGGATTACAAGTGCGGGCCACCGCGCCTGGCATTTTGTATTTTTAGTAGAGATAGGGTTTCACCATGTTGTCCAGGGTGGTCTGGAACTCTGGCCTTAGGTGATCTCCCCACCTCGGCGTCCCAAAGTGCTGGGATTACAGGTGTCAACCCCTGCATCTGGCCACAAACAAATATTTTAATTAAAAAATTAGCCAGGCATGGTGGCATGGGCCTGTGGTCCCAGCTAAGGAGGCTGAGGCAGGAGGATCACTTGAGCCCTGGAAGTCAAGGCTGCAGTAAGCTATGATTGCAGCACTGCACTCTATCTTGGGCGACAGAGCAAGACCCTGTCTGGAAAAAACATGAAAGTGCCAACCCCAATTAGAGCAGCCCTAAATTGAGACTCACTCTTGTATATTAGTAGCATTAACGGAGAAAAATTGGAAACTTGTATGTTTTCTGCCATCTGATTCAGTTAATTAGCGTCCCGTCCCTGCATCTTGTGAAATTACATCAGATGTCCCCAAGGGGCACTATTATGCCTTGTCGTATTCATACCTAATCTAGATGCTGACCAGTTGATAGATAATGAAACCTATACTCTCTTTAATGACCATTTTAACAGTTCAAACAGTTTGGTAATATTCTTTTCGTTCTACAAGTGAAGAAAGTCTGGGAGGTGAAGCCGTTGATGCAGGGTCGGTCAGCAATCGGCGGAGTTGGGATTCGAACCCATGTCACAGGCAGAGGGAGGAGGGCAGCTATAGCCACGCCCCCTGGTTCCGACTTCAGCTCGCAGGCTCGAAAGAGTAATTGCGCATGCTCAGAGAGCCCGGTCGCGCACGCTGAGCGAGACCACGGGGACGCCTCCAGCCGCCAGGGGGAGTGCGCGCGGTTCCTGCCTCTCTGGCCCGCGCGTCCTTAGCCTAGTAGATATCCCAGAGTTCAGCGCGGCGCTAGCCCTTCCGCCACGGTCGCCATTGGAGAGTAGCAGGTGAGTGGGTTCATGCACTGCGGGGATCTGCCGCCATCCGTACTCCCGGCTTCTCTGTGCGGGTTGGAGGATGGTCGGTTGTGGCAAGTGAGGCTGAAGGGAGCTGGGCGCTGGGTTCTGGACCTCGGGAACCGAATCGGGACTCAACCTCCGCCCCTTCTCCCCGCCACTGTCTACAGCCATGGCTCTTCGGTATCCTATGGCCGTGGGCCTCAACAAGGGCCACAAGGTAACCAAGAACGTGAGCAAGCCCAGGCACAGCCGCCGCCGCGGGGTAAGTGAGGGGGTCGCGCGGAGGTCGTCGGGGGGCTTCTTCGAGGGCAGAGGGCACGGCTTGGGCAGAGGCTGTCGGCGTGAAAGAACGCGGGTTGGCGCGCGGAGCTAAGGGGGTTTGAATGGAAGGGACGGGGTGGGGGAGTGGGGGTTCCTACTTGGTGGTCGAAGGCGAGCACTTATCTGGGTTTTCCCTGCCTGTGCAATCCACGCCGGGGCACCGGGAGCAACTTAAGGGCGGCTCGGGACAGTGGGTTTGGGGTTTTTGACTTATGAGTAGGAGTTCCCTTGTGGAGCTGGCCCGAGGCTGCAGTGTGTGAGGTTGGGTGATTTCAGGTGTGTCAGTGTATTTGGCTCCTTTATTCAGCGGGCAGCCCCGACTCCAGGTGCGTCCTGCAGGTGTTGCAGAGATTGGGACTTGGGGAGGATGGGAGATGCTCTGCGCGCGGTGGCTGACGCCTGTAATCCCAACACTTTGGGAGGCCGGGGAAGGCGGATCACGAGCTGGGGAGTTTGAGACCAGTCTGACCAACATGGTGTAAACCCCGTTTCTACTAAAAATACAAAAAATTACCCGGGCATGGTGACGCGCGCGCGAAGCGGAGGCTGCAGTGAGCCGAGACCCACGCCATTGCACTCCAGCCTGGACGAGAGAGTGAGACTCCGTCTCAAAACAAGAAAAGCCCTAAGGGTTAATATCTCGGTTCTCACGGCTACCCAGAGATCTCTGCTCACTGCAACCTCCGCCTCCCAGGTTCCAGCGATTCTTGTGCCTCAGCCTCCCCAGTAGCTGGGATTACAGGTGCGGGTAACTACGCCTGGCTTTTTTATTTTTAGTAGATACGAGGTTTCACCATGTTGGCCAGGCTGGCCTCAAACTCCTGGCCTTAGTGAACCCCCGCCTCGGCCTCCCCAAAGTGCCAAGATTACAGGCCTGAGCCACTGCGCCTGGCCACAAACGAATTTTTGTTTTGAGATGGAGCTCTTGTGCCCATGCTGGAGTTAAGTGGTGCGATCTCGGCTTGCTGCAGCCTCACCTGGGTTCTGTAGGGCACGTTGGGAGCTGGATGTAGGGCTGAGTGCCCCACAGGGTCGTGGGGTGAGCCTTATGCTGTGCTGAGGCGCAGGATCCGAGAAATAAAGAGACGGGACACAGAAGTACATGAAAAACGCAGCTGGGCTCGGGGGGCCACGCCACCTATGAGGGGAGTCAGGCGAGGCCTCGAATGTCCAGAAGCATGAGTATTTATTGTGTATAGGTTAGGGGGCAGGGCAGTGAGTGAAATCATCTTTAAGGATAGTGATAGGGTCGTGAGCAATAAAACATGGGGTCCACCCCCATTAGGGCACCTAGGCCAGGAGGTGGACAGTGCGCAGCAAGGGGCCTGTTCCCATGAAGGCAAGGGCCGTGTGCAGTAAGGGGTTCACCCCCATTAGTTCACCGAGGCTTGAAGGTGGGCTGTGCGCAGTGAAGAGGGTGCAGTGTGCGCTACTTCTATCTATGGGAAAACTACTTCTGAGATTTATAGGAGGATGCTTTAAGTCACATAGCAGTGACGGAGCTGTCAAGGTTTCCGCCGCCTTCTGGCAGCTTCCAATGGGTTCTATGGGAGATGCTTTTTAAGCAGCACAGTAGCAAGAGCTGATAAAGTTCAGTCATCAAGGTGGATTGTCGTTCTGAGGGCAGCCTTCCACAAGAACTGGAGCAAGGTCCTACAACTCCTTTATCAGGAGTGGCTGTCGCCCCAGGCCTGCCATACAGCGGGTATCTTTACGATACTGAACGCTGCCACCTGGGCGATGAATTCTTGTCCTGGTATAACTGTTTTGCCCTTAATTCATGCTCTGCACTGTGTCTGCTCTAGGCATTCCTCCGATTATGACCCAAGATATATATGTAGGGAAATATTCTTTAGGCACTCAACTATTAATAATTACATATTGCCGGGCGCGGTGGCTCACGCCTGTAATCCCAGCACTTTGGGAGGCCGAGGCGGGTGGATCACGAGGTCAAGAGATCGAGACCATCCTGGTCAACATGGTGAAACCTCATCTCTACAAAAAATTGGCTGGGCATAGTGGCGCGTGCCTGTAATCCCAGCTACTCAGGAGGCTGAGGCAGGAGAATTGCCTGAACCCAGGAGGCGGAGGTTGTGGTGAGCCGAGATCGCGCCATTGCACTCCAGCCTGGGTAACAAGAGCGAAACTCCGTCTCCAAAAAAAAAAAAAAAAAGAATTACATATAGAGAATTATGTAAAGGGATTCTTTAAGCCCTATTTCTATAAACTAATATGATTGTGTAAAGGATTATATTGAAGGAAATAGCTGAGTAGTAACACTCTAAAGTGAGATATTCCTCAAGGCCTAACTGTGCCAGGTTTCTGCTTGGCTCTCATTCCTCGGTGCCTACATGGGGGGTTACCCACAGGTTCAAGTGATTCTTGTGCCTCAGCCTCCCCAGTAGCTGGGATTACAGGTGCGGGTAACCACGCCTGGCTTTTTTTTTTTTTTTTAGTAGATACGAGGTTTCACCATGTTGGCCAGGCTGGCCTCAAACTCCTGGTCTTAGTGAACCCCCGCCTCGGCCTCCCCAAAGTGCCAAGATTACAGGCCTGAGCCACTGCGCCTGGCCACAAACGAATTTTTTGTTTTGAGATGGAGCTCTTGTGCCCATGCTGGAGTGCACTGGTTCGATCTCGGCTTGCTGCAGCCTCACCTGCATTCAAGCGATTCTTGTGCCTCAGCCTCCTGAGTAGTTGGGACTACAGGCATGCTCCACCACACCCAGCTTATTTTTGTATTTTTAGTAGAGATGGGGTTTCACCATATTGGCCAGGCTGGTCTCGAACTCCTGACCTCAAGTCATCCACCTGCCTTGGCTTCCCACAGTGCTGGGATTACAGGTGTCACGCACCGCACCGAACCGAACCACAAACAAGTAGTAATTAAAAAATGAGCCAGGCATGGTGGCATGCGCCTGTGGTCCCAGCTAAGGAGGCTGAGGCAGGAAGATCACCTGAGCCCTGGAAGTCAAAGCTGCAATAAGCTATACTGCAGCACTGCACCCCGGCCTAGGCGACAGGCCACCACGCCAGGGAGAGTGGCCAGGGAAATGGTAACGGTGCTTACCTAGAATGCAGGGGTCCCCCCACCCTAATGACCGGCTCTTGCCCCCACCCCCAGCGTCTGACCAAACACACCAAGTTCGTGCGGGACATGATCCGGGAAGTGTGTGGCTTTGCCCCATACGAGCGGCGCGCCATGGAGTTGCTGAAGGTCTCCAAGGACAAACGGGCCCTCAAGTTCATCAAGAAAAGGGTAGGTGGGCACTGCTGGTGGAGGGGCGAGGTGGGAGTTGCAGGTGGGCTGACAGCGACCCTGTCCGCAGGTGGGGACACACATCCGGGCCAAGAGGAAGCGGGAGGAGCTGAGCAATGTCCTGGCCGCCATGAGGAAAGCTGCTGCCAAGAAGGACTGAGCCCCCTCCCCTGCTGTCTCCCTGAAATAAAAAACAGCTGCGCTCAAGCCCTGGCTCCGCTGCTGTCCTGGGGTAGGGGAGGTCCTTCAAGCATCTGTTTGGTGCCCAAGCCCTGGCCCGCCCACCCCACCTTCCTGGGGCAGAAGGCAAGGAGGCCCCATACCAGAACTGACTTTAATGATTAAATAGTTCCTACGCCCACACTGATTAAACCGACTGGGGTCCCTGGGATCTGGGCCGCTGGAGTGAGCTGCTTGCTCGGTGGCTCCACTGCCAGGCCCTGCTGCGCTCCCCGAAGGGCTCTGTTCGGGCCCAGGCAGGGCCTGACATCTGTCGCCTGCAGTCCCGGGGTGACCGTCACCGCTCCACGGCCAGCGCCTCTGCCTGCTCCTCCGGGAAGGCGATGTCGAAGATCTGGTGGTAGTGCTCCACGAAGTGCACCTCCAGGCCCTCGGTGATGAAGCCTGCCAGGTCGCAGAAGTCCTTCTTGTTCTCGGCTGGTAGGACGATGCACGTCACCCCTGCGCGCTTGGCCTGGGGGCAGAGTCAGGGTCAGCCCTGCCTGACCTGGAGGAGGGCCGCAGGTGTGCGTCCTCCAGGAAGGGAAGGGCTGTGTGGGGACCGGGAACACGGGGATGGCAGCTCAGAGCAATAGCTCCTGACAGCCACTGGGATCCCTATTTCCCGGGGAAACAGGCTCAAGGCAAAACCACTGGCCTCAGCTCCAGAAGCCTGCGAGCTCAGCCAGGTCCGCCCTAGCCCGTGACCTGGAAGTCTGGCCATGCAGGGGGAGCAGCGTCGGGCTCTGGATGAGCCCCACCCACAGCTTCACCTCCAGCGGGCAGGCAGGGGCCGTGGCCTCATCACATAGAGGACAGCACTTCCCACTGTCAGCACACACTGTGGCAAGGACAGCCCCCACCACTTTTATGATCTAGGGAGTGTGTGGCTGCGGTCCAGGTGGTCACAGCCACTTGACCGTGCCTACCCTCCTGGTGGAATCCCCTCACAATGACCCCAGCAGGCTTCCTAGACACACGGCAGCTTGGTCTGAGGACACGCAGGGCTGGGAGCGAAGAGCAAAGCCCAAACCTTGGGCCATGTCCAGCCCTCCCTCAGCGCAGCCTGCTGGCACAGGAAGCAGGAGCCCCGTTCCCCAGTCCAAACCGTACTGGGAAAGCCAGTGGGCTCTAGAATGTTCACCCCAAGACTTGATGTGGAGGAGACAGCTAGGGCAGTCAGCTCCAGGCCACGTGGGCCTGGGTACAACTTCCCTGAGTGCCCAGCCCGCCGGGTGGTGCCGACGCGTGTGCTCACCGCGATGGTCTTCTCCTTGATGCCGCCAACAGGCAGGATCTTGCCTGTGAGGGAGACCTCGCCAGTCATGGCCAGGTTCTGCCGGACGGGCCTGCCCATGGCCAGGGACAGCAGGGCCGTGACGATGGTGCAGCCTGCGCTTGGGCCGTCCTTGGGGGTGGCACCCTGCGGGGGGGTATGGGGGAAGGGGGTGAGCAGGTGGCCAGCTGCCCAGATGCTGGGTGGGGGTGGGTGGTGCAGTCACCTCAGGCACATGCAGGTGGATGTGTGAGGTCACCAGGTACTCGTTGTCAGGGGCATGCTGCATGAGGAAGGCCCTGGCAAAGGTGTAGGCGATGCGGGCGCTCTCCTTCATCACCTCCCCTAGCTGGCCTGTCACCTCCAGGCTGCCGTCCTTTTCACCCTTGGCATCCTTGTCCCGTGGTCGCCTCAGGGACGTCTCCACAAATAACGTGGAGCCTCCTGGAACGGGTGCGGAGCTGTGAACAGGGGAGGCCTCGGGGCCCGGGCCCACTCCACCCCCAGCACCCTGCCTGCTCCTGCCCCAGCTCAGCATCTTGGCACCTCTGGGCAGGGGCTGTCCCACCATGAGCCAACAAAGACCTCCATGTTTGCTGGGTGGCAGGTTCCTGGCTCTGCCGGCCCCACAGCGCAGCTGCCAGCCAGAGAACATGCCCAGGGCC